AGAGAGAGAGAGAGAGAGGGAGGTATGCACGTACCTGTCTCTTATACACATCTAGATGTGTATAAGAGACAGCTCACAATTAAGGCGATGCATGTTGCCCCCCCCCCCCCCACCGCCCTAATTGACGGTGGTCAGGGAGTAGGGGGGGGCCGCCGGTTGGGGGGGCGGGGGTGTTCTATTGCAAAGACCGAGCATGTTGCCCGTAGCTGCGCCTCCCATCTACTTCCCCCACATCCCATCGAGTAGCAGCGGCGGCTATGGCCAACACTCTCCCACATCGAGTAGCAGCAGTGGCTATGGTTAAATACGTCAAGAACTGGCGACCATTGAGAAAGACATCTGCATCCCTTCCGTCCATCCATTCGTCCATTCCTTTCCCGCGACCGCATAGCGACTACCACACGGCGACATAACACGTCGTGTCCATCAGAGCCCTTCTGGTCAGCTCCCCACTCACCTCCCCACCCACCCACCCACCCACCCCCCCGCCAAACCAAGCGCCCCAACTCAATCTCGGCCTTGTCCACTCGCCCCTCAATAAGTACAGAGAAAGACGAAGGCCATCTCTCTTCAGACTCTTTGCCACTGTTCCATAGATTGCCCATCTTTCCACTTTCTGTGAGAGTTGGCCCATACCGTATCTGTCAAGCTTGCAGTAGGGGCTCGAACCCGCGACCTAACCACGATTTGCCCAGCTTATGGGGGGGGGGGCGTGAACCCGCGACGTGACCACGTACACTAAGTAAGACACACGGGATGCTGACTCCGTGTCGCCAAAACGCAGAGTCGCTGCCACAATGTAAGCCACCAAGTCCGTAAGCGCGCCTACAATGTGCTCGTTGGAAGAAGTGATGAACGTCCACGCGGGAAGCACTGTCGGTGGTCGCGCGTGCGGAAAAGAGGAAAAAATGAGAGACAGAAAGCCCAAACGAGGGAGAGAGAGGGAGGGGGAATGAGGACGAGCGGGAACGAGAGAGAGACAGAAGAGCGAAGTGAGATAGACAAAGAAAGGAAGCGAGGAAGGGATGAGTGAAAGAGAGAGAGAGAGAGAGAGAGAGAGGGAGGTATGCACGTACTGTAAGTACTCACATGGAGTTTTCCTCGCAGCTCTCGCTCGCCGCGTAGCTTCACGTAAATCCGCTCGTCCAAACTCAGACGGATCAGGTCTAACGGTTCCTTGACGGTGCTGTCTTCCTCGGTCGCCATGGGTCTGCTGCGTGGAGGAAGCCGATCGCGGCGTCCTCGCCTTCCGCCGCCTCCTGGCTATGGCGGGCAACGGATGCTCGTCGCTCCTCCTGCCCACTTCTTGCCACTCAGTCAATCCACCCCTCTCTCTCTCTCTCTCTCTCTCTCTCTCTCTCTCTCTCTTAGCTAGCCACTCTTCCTGTGTGTCCCTGCCCACATGACTCTCTCTCTCTCTCTCTCTCTCTCTCTCTCTCGTCTTAGTTAGCCACTCTTCCTGTGTGTCCCTGCCCACATGACCCCCTCAAACCCCCAGTCCACCCGCACTTGCGACCGCGACAACCCAAGCTACTCGGGGTTGATCGTACACCGCCTTCAGGTCAGGTTACCGTACCTCCCGTCACGACGGGCTGCAGAGGGTCGATTTCGCAGCCGCGGTTTTCGTCGGTGGTCACTTCGGAGAGCAGCTGCCTCGAATAAGCGCGTGCTTTCCGAGCCGGGATACTATTTACGGGTAGTGTCGGGGGCTGGGGGCCCACAGAGGCTCGGAGAACGCCTCGGAAACGGGTCGAATTGGAACCCTGGCACCGCGTTGCCACCGCACCGAACCTACAGTGGGATGAGTGGGGGGAAGCTGGGCCGCAGCATGATGGTTGGCGAGGAGGCCAGTGATACCAGCCGAGACTAACAAGGCCCGGGGCCGTGCCCCACCATATGGGGCGGAATAATGGCTGTGGGATGCACGTGCAGCGAGGTGGCTGGGGCAGACAGATTTTGGCCGATAATACAGCCAATTTTTCAGAGTGGCAGCGTGCATGCTGCCGCGACTCTCGGGAAGTACCCGGGTGCCATTTCACTGGACATCCATCCAGGCAAAACGAACCTAATGCTGCAGAGACTCTCAGGAAGTACCGAGGCACCATTTCGCTGGACATCCGTCCAGGCAAAACGGGCCTTCCACGAGGTCCGTTTTGTCTGGATGGATGTTTAGCAAGACGGTGCGCTGGTACTTCATGCGAGCAGCATGGACCACTACCTTTCCAAGCTGTAGTCCCATTTGGGAAAATGACCTCATCTGAAAAGTTCGGGGGGCCGGCGTAGGGTCTGTAGGAAAAGAGAAAGCCGCAGCAAATCCTTTAAACCACCAGTACCTCGCTCAGTGTTCGGCCGCGGGCCTTCCCGTATACGCGCCACAGCCTCAGGCTGGTCGGCCAAGGGAAGGCCCGGTCGTAGCGCCAAGGCCGGGCCCCGCTTCTGTAGGGACGACACACGATCAAAAAAGAAAGAAGAA